AAACAGATTAACGAGTTTAATATGGAGTGTTGTATTGGGGTCCATCATTTCGATAAAGGAGCGGCTAAAGTGGACTAATAAACTGGTCACGTGAAATAGTATGTGTAGGCTGGCCATGGAATTAATCTGGTCGAAGAGGTTCTTAATCTCGTTGTACAAACTGGTCACCTAAATAATTATGGATGGATCTTTAATTCGGATTTTATTTTATCTGTTTTACGCCGACATTTTTTTGTCATTTTGAATTTTGAGTAGAGCTCCACAGGAGTCGGATGATTTTTTTTTAATTTTGAAGGAAAAATAGATTTTTTAACAGTTTTGAATCTTCAAGGAACAATTTTATTAACGGCGCGACATTTAAGTTAGTATCGCAGCCTGCGTTGCGTTTCTACACAATTTACGGACGCTTGAAGAAAATATAAATGAATCCTGAACTGATGAATTAATAAAAATCGTGTGTAGGGAAATTAAAATTTCGTGCAATGGTCAAAAACTTATTAGCTCACCTGACTCAAGAAATGTTGTCCATTTTTTCCACAGCTATGTAAGTATAATTCGCAGTCGCACCCAAGTTTATACGTAATTATGCACAAGTATGTACTAAACCCGAGCAGCATTGAATTCACGAATATCGAGAAATTTATATTATACAAGAACAAAATAGAAGATAAAATCATTTGAAGTAATTCGTTTCCTTCCAAATCAAGTAGGCTATCTAAATTTACGATACTCGCGTCTTTGTATGTTTCTCGGAAAGGGACATTTCCAAGGAAGAAGGTTTCCAAGCCGTAATACACTGAAGACGCGATCGGAATGATGATCATGGCCAAAAACGGGAAACTAATTTGCAACCAACCCTGCGTAATAAATCAGAATTTGAAATAGTTTTCAGATAAGTATTAATACCTACTTGTAAATATGTGCACCTTTACAAATTCAGTATTAAACTGGTACCAAGCGGTATTATTATTTGACACTACCATGTGGTATTGATAAGTAACAGCTCCGTTTAAAATTTTACAATATCCGTAATAAATTTTTACGGATGAGTATAATTTCAATAACAAAAAGAAGCAACTTATTTACTACCCAGAAATTAATACCTGCGTGACTATACCAGATTTAATACTATTAAATTGTGACGAGTTTGCCATATTTTATACCCTTCCGTGAAAATTCGTCACTACGGTCGTAAATGGGTATTCATATTCATAATGAGGATCCACTAACGAGTTGGACTGACAAAATAAAATGCTCAGAACTTTTTACACAGTTAATGCAATTTCCAAAAAGTTGCATATGTTTACTACCAAAGGGTTTGGATTGCCATACAGTTCAAATTTTAATGATTCAATTCCGCTATCTGCTACAGATTGCATTTTCTTCTTCCGATTTCGGGTCAAATTCCGCCCATAGATTGCACCTACTTTCAACCTGATTTCCTTCCATCTGTTCTTAAATTTTCGTAAGGTGTCTGGCGTTTCTGAAAGCTTAGAATATTTGGATTTAGTCAGCGCTCAGAATTTCTCAATTGGTCGCAGTTGAGGAAAATTTGGTGGGTTTCCATTTTTTTTGCACAAATTCAATTTTTTTCAGATGTCGGTACTGAGTAACCTTTTTGGCGTCATGGGACCTTGCGAGGTCAGGCCAAAACAAAACTTTATTTTTTTATGATCTTTAGTAATAAAAGATTCGAATCCCCCTTTAATGCATGATTTAAGATAAACCCCCTGGTTTACAGTGCCCTCAAAAACAACGGGATAGGAAACATGACCAATGCTAGACATGCGTTGCCAAATTCTTCATTGTTTTGTGAATTAGTTTTTCTTTTGGACTTTGTCTTCATATTTTACTTCACAGGGGTTGGAACTATGGAAAAAATGTCTTCCTGGAGGATTTGAAGGGTCAGCTGTGACGTAGGGCTCATCGTCCATGATGACCACGTTTCCCCGAATTTTCTTCAACTATTTCTTGCATCACATATGAATCATTTCATTTTGTGTTGGTTTGTAATTTGGTGCTGGTTTTTTCCCTGCCTACAATCCCTAGTTTATGGACTTTGATTTTGCTTAGATAGCTTTTTGAAATGTTGACCTTCCTTTCCGCGCCAGCCGTTGTCGTTGATGGATAATTTTTGAAGATTTTTTAATGCGATTTTTGACTTTTGTCGTCGCTAGCTTTGCAGGTCGACCAGTGGGGACTTTGAATTAGAGTTCATTGGATTCCTCGTACTTTTTTATGTAAAAGTAGACATTTGAATGAGGAATACCTTCTTGCTTGAAAAAGTGCCAAGTGATTTTAGAATCATAGTTTGTTCGATTTTTGTGAAACTCAATCACTCTTTTTTTCAACTCTTGCCTTTCAACCCAAGTTTTTCTAGTCTTAGCCATGACTCAATAATTGGTGACATATATCAATGGAAAGCTTATAACTTGGTCTATTCAAAAATAATTTTTTCGAAATTTAATTTCGCTGTGTTCCCGCCTAGCGCGCCTTTACGGGGCAGTCCAACTCGATAGTGGATGATCTTTATTTGTATTACATAAATACATATTTCTGATAATTTTGAAATATAAAAATCGTAGGAAATCTTACAGTTCTCGAGAGGCTGGAATATTGCGATAGCGTTTCCCCAGATTTTAAAATTTTGATCCAAGCGGCTTTCTGAAACCAGGCAAAGCAGGAAAACATGAATAACATGATCACGTTTACGACTAATCGCGCCAAAATGTAGAGTTTTGAAGGATCCTCTCGTATTCCACCGTAGGTCTTTTCGATCCCAAATTTGCACTGGATTAGTGTAACTAAAAGTTGCATGGTATGATTTACTATGCAGAGACACTGAAAATATGAATAAGAGTATTAAATTATATACACATATAAGTACGTAAACATATTTCATTTAAAAAATTTCAAACCATTTGTAAACTATTCAAACAATTCACGTACCTATGTAGCTTATAAAATCCTTAACTTTTACAAAATAATTTCACAAGCTTTTACAAACTAAAGAGATGCTCTTGGCGTCAGTTAGTTTACAAAATTTGTGGGTTTATTTTCTTTTAAGTATACGAATATTTCTATGGAAAATCTTATAAAATTTTACAATCTTAAATAAATTTACGGATTTTACAATGCTACCAAGGACTGCGTGAATTGCGTCAATATGTAACAAATTCTACTCACAGTATGAAAACAATTCGTCGTGACGACAAATCCATTCCCCGTTTAGCGTTGAGGTACAATTTTGTATGGTGTAATGCAAGCGTAATACAGGAGATTCGAGAAACTTGTCAAGAAATGAAATATCTCGGTCTCCATTTTTCTATAATTTGTGCATGGTTTCATTATGAACTTGCCCTGTACGCAATACATAAAGTGTTTAGTGCAATGGAGTATTTAATGAACTGTGCAAGAATTTGTCAATTTAACATATGTACATATTTATCCCCATTTTGGTGCACTCTTAAAAACCAGGTGTTAATCGTTACCGAACGGTTTGCATAGGTGACTTTGCAACGCGGTGGTAATGCTTCTCACAATGGTGATAAAATTTACACCAACCAGTGACAATTTATCACCATGCGGTGAAAACTATTATCACCATTTAGTGAAGTCACATATCTATGCACGCCGTTTGGTGACGGCGATTAACACCGGGTTTTTAAGAGTGTACTTCTTCTGGTCAGCATTTCCGACATATTTTAATTTGTTAATTCACGACGACGCCTCTTTATAATATTGTTAATGCATGTATGTATGCGTACATATTTACGTACATAAGTTTGCACATATTGCATATTTACATATGGAAGAGTAAAATCATTCTTATTTATACGTATGTATACATCGATATATGCGTGTCTTACTTGAATCCGAAATTTAATTGTGAATAATTCAGTCCATGTGCCAAGCTTTTTCTCCAATAACCGAGGTTATCCATACTTTATGGAATTAACAAGTAATTCAGATCTATTGGACTCATCAAATCTTGAAAAATTTATGTATATATTTCATTTAAACTAGATTGGAAGTGTAAATCGTTTTCGTTGTGTAAATCATTTATGCAGGCGCACATGTACATACATAAATATGTATATAAATACATACATTCATATATATATGCCTTTACATATGCATGATATATGGATGTGCATTGATTTTAATATCCATATATGATGCATAAGTACCTCGTAAGTACTTCGCATAACAACCTCGTTATTTTGCATGACCTTAGCGACAAAAGGCTACGTTTCTCTAAAATTTGTCAAGTATGTGGATACGTACAGATGTACATAAACTACACTACAAAGTGATTTATTAGAGGTGTACATAATATGCACTACATATTACCCAAAATTACGTCATAGTTGCAATTGTTGAATTAGAAATGATTCACTTTTATTTACATGAGTTTTCCAGAATCACAATGAAGTTCTTGGTCACTCTTGCACGCACACATACGCAAAAACGTATGAAAACCATAACGTTATCCAGCTCAGACAATGAGAAGGTGGTCAAACTCATTGCGTGCGGAACGTAACAATTTGTTCAATTTGGACACAATTGCATATTGAAATTTTTATGCTGAACGTACAATTAAATTAGTAACGGATTTCTTGGAAATGACATAAACCTCAAAATAGTCCGTAAATTGGTAAAACCCAGAAATTACATAATGGATTTATACCTATTTTTAAACCTTTTATACATCCATAAAATATCTATGATATTATGACTACCTGCCGACAAGAATTGCATGCTAGTTATATATTTATTTCTATTAATATTGATGCATACATGTACCTAAATCCTCCAGGTATCGTGTCCATCTTATTTTTTGGCGACACTAACAGTAAATGACATGACGACATCTATACATTTAATCCTAGTGACTAACTCAATATGGCACGTCACAAAAATTTATTTCATATAAAACTTAGAATAACTGTGGGAAAAATTATCACTACTTCAATCCAACTGGAAAGGATACACACAAAACGAGCAAATTTATATTGCTTCAACTCTGCCAATTTATTGAAATATATTTCATTCACATTCAAAAAAATCTAACACTATGGCCAAGTTTATCACAAGTTTCTCAAATTTTACCTCAGTGATCTTATTATTTTTTGGAACCATGTGTATAACACGAGCCCAGTGGCAATCCCAGATTAACGCTGCAAACGCAAGGATCTCTCTTGTAGACGGGAAAACGAGTAAGTTTCTTTGTTACCAATTCTGTTACGTCAGAATCTACACTGGTATAGTCAGACAGGTATTGATTTCTCGGTATAACAGTTGCTACCGCTTGGTATTAAAATTATACCGGTCTGTAAAAATTTGCTACTGATAATATGACAAAACTTTAATACGGACCTATTACTATACTACATGGTATTACTTGTCAATACCACTTTGGTATAGTCATAAATATGTTTGAATACCGCTTGGTACATATTATTTTAATGCTGGATTTCTAAGAGTGTACAAATTTTGCAAATTTGTATAAGTCATGTTTTAAATAACTTTTCTCTTTTGTCTATAGTTGCCAATTTGAAGAAAATCGAATCACTGGATTCCAGATTAACAATCTTGAGGAGTGACATGTACTCGGAAATCAATGATTTATCAAATCGAGTTTACACCATGAGAGAAACTGTGACACAAATGAGGAACGACATTGAATCAAACAAAGCCCAAATCCAATATGCAAATGACAGGATTGCGGAACTTTCCACCTCTCTGCACACTGCTAACAGCAAAATCACCAAATTAGAGTCCGTCAATCAAGTATGGGCAAAAAATTGGAGAATTGTTGACAAAACTTTTAAAGGATTAAGAAAGAAGGTTACATTTGTTACACCGGTTTTCGTCATTGGCGGTTAATGATTAAAGAATAATCTTAGGTTAAAATTTTTGGATTTAATCGACAACATTTTAGCCAGCAATTTAGTCAGTTTAATTATACATGTCTAATTGTGAGTTAGATATATGATGTGAGACAGGAACATTTTTTGTTAGATTTTTGTGTATGCATGTATCTATTAAAATATAATTATACGAAACTACGTGTCGTTGGATTAAAATTGTATGTATGCCAAATTATTTGCAATATTTCACAACAACCTTGCTCTAATTTTTTTATTTTCTAAACTGAAGTATGTATAATGGGGGGAAATTTGACGATTCTAAAAATCACTGGATATCTATGCAATCGAAATAAAGTTGTGTATAATTTCCTAACTGTTAAATAAAATAAGTAGAGTATGATACAACAACTGGGTAAAATTTATCTAACATTGCATATCTCTGAAAAATTTTACCAATTGTTGTTTCATCCTCTATTTTACAGATACTCCGAGTATCATACTCGACGTTAGGCAAGTAAATTATACGCAACTTTATGTGTTGGCTTTAAGAGTATAATACACTAGCGTATAAGCCCGTCTCCCACCGGGCGACGGGCTTATTTGGTTTTCGTAAAAATTCAATGAGATTGTTCATAATTCCACCGAATTATTTTTTTATTGTATCTGTATTATTAGCTGGAAATGTCTCTTGGCAACGGAAGTGAAACTTCCTCCACTTTCACTTCCGTTGCAGACAAACATTTCCAGCTTATAATATAGATACTTCATCATACGCTCCAAGTGATAAAATCAGATTACGATAATCCTCCTTGTCGCTTTACGCGAACATGTCCGTATTTATTATGCGTTCGAATGAGATGCTTAAGTCACTGGTAAATAAATTAGTATACTAGTTTATTTCGTATAACAAATATTTATTAAGTAATCTTTCATAATCCCATAATTTATGGCATCGTCAAAATATCGGCTTCCGTCTGCATACAAATCTCCAGAAGACGGCCTTCCGTGTGGTAAATGATGGCACGAAGGAGGACCGCGTTCCCAGAGAAGGTATCATTCGGTACGATGCTGTACCTCACGGTGTACATTAAACCGGGTTGGACAGATGAACCGGGCAGGACGGTGTCGAAGAGACGGTGCGGAGTTCCGAGATACACGACGTCAACCGCCAAACTGAGCGAAGTTGCGGCAGAGCCTGAAATAGATTAATTACTTGAAATTAATTATAGGCTAAAATATTTATCTCTGCGGTTTTTGGGAAAAATCGCAGTTTTATTTGTATTTTAATAACTGACAGTAGCTTAAATGTTGTGCACTGAGAATAAAATGTTAGCAAATTGCTACTGGGTGGTGTCTATATTGACCTCACCGGTTTGGTAGCAATTTTCTACAGAATTGTAGTAAATTTGCTACCATCTTGTAGCATTTCCTTATCCCGCTGTTGCGGCTAGTCAAAATGTGGTAGCAAATATGCTACAATTCTATAGCAAATCACTACCAATCCGGTGAGGTCATATATAGACACCGCCCAGTAGCAATTTGCTAACATTTTATTCTCAGTGTGGTTATGTACATATGTACATTGATGAAAATAATTAATTGAGTAAGATTTCGATTTTAGACAAAATTTCTCAAATCAAATTTACAACTTCATTACTTATTTAATTAAATATTAAATATTTATTATCGGCTAAACTTACTTGGAATAAAATCATACTCAATATTGTACACTCGACCAGGTTGGAAAGCACATCGTCCTTCGCATTCGGAAATTCTGAGTTGAATTGGTGTTCCGTACCCACCTATTCATTAATCAATTCAAGATTAATATTTTGTCTTTAATAGGGATTACAATTTTTGAAAAGTTTACACACCACAGCGAGTAATATTTCCTACGACGCCTCTGGCGCTGCCGGCCGTCTTTTGTACAACACTGGCCTCAACAATGCTAAAGGATCCGATGGAAGATGCTGTCGCAGAGGCGGAAAAAAGGGCCAAAGCAACCAAATATTTCGTGGCAGAAGACATCTCAAAATTTGAAAAGTTTTTTTTACCAAAATTTGAAATAATCAGAGTGAGGAACTTATCTGGACGAGTGGGTACATGATGAAGGGATTCGCACGGTTTTATACTGCACAACGACATGATTGACGTAAATCTCAGGTGATTAACTTGATAAGATATTCAGCCTGCAGTGAGGTGTGTGAATGTATGCAAACCGTTATGAAATTCAGGTAAATGCTGATGAATTAGTTTAAGTTATCGAAACTTAGGGTTAAATTCAAATGAAGTCTGATAAGTATGTAATGCACAGAAATTTAATCCAGATTAGCTGATGCTGACGTCAATTAAAATAACACTGGACGTCACAATTGCTTTACTGGAAAAGCTTCTGATCATTTAGGCAATGGAAACCAAATCTCGGCACGTATACAGAGAAAAACCGAGTTGACCAATCGTTTAATTGATCAATCGATCAAAACTTGTCGACATAATGTGACGCGCAATGTATGCTTATCATGTCCTTTTTTCACTGCGATTAAATAAATTATGGATTTGATTAGTTTGCCTGGACGGTAGGATTCAAAATTGCGTCATGCATATTTTCACAATTGTATCACTACGATTTAGGATATCAATGAACTACATGGGAATTCCCCAGATAATTGTATCTACTATTATATAGCAAGTGTTTAAGATTGTGCTTATTTAGCGTCTTTTTGTACGAATTAATACGAATATTTATATCCGAATCTTTAATTTCTTGTATGTATAAAAATAGGTCTTTTCCATTTTAACTACACTCAAAATAAGGTAGTAATTAATCATTACCATGAGGAATTACTATGTGTCTCTACCACGTCGGTTATGAGTTGTAGTAGAAATGGTAAGAATAAGTTCAGGGAAATTCTTGTTACGCATAAAATAAAAATGGGTGTAAAAAAGTTTCCCGAACAGTTTTGGAAAACCGGTCAGAAATTTTCATGACGAAACTTCAGGACATGCAAGATCGTCTGATGGGCACGCAAAATACCTGTGCATACGATGGTATAAAAAATTTGTTTAAAAAATGTGTTTCTTTGCGAAAAGAACACTTGTTTGATACTATGCTTTGCCTGGTCCGAAACTATGGCTACGATGTATTTTTACAAACAAAAGTGAACTTTAAGCTCAATTATAGCTGACATCTAGCGGCTACCACGGCCTGAGCTGCAGACGTGGTTCCGGGTGTCAATCTCGTCATGCCGCATCAAATGACGTGATTTGGAGAGCTCTCCGATCTGTACGAGCCCTCACCATCAAAGAGCCAGGCGGTTGTTCCCGGTCAGATGGGGAACGCCTTAACGGACTAACGCTAGTCCCAAGGGCGAGAGGAAGGCCCCCATTATGTGCTGACACATTCGCGCCGTCATTCCTCCCTCAAACTTTTTTCCACCCAGGTGTGGCAGCCGAGAGGGTGGAGAAAACCAGGTTCCTCTTTGGTCCCCTTTGTTCTTTGGTTCCTCTTTGTTCCTGTAGTCCTTGAGACGACTTGGAGCGCGGAGGGTCTGTCCCTCATCAAAGAAATAGGGTCAAGGATCAACGCTCTCATGGACGAGAAAAAGGCGATACTAGGTCTCATTCACCAAACAAACATTGTGGTACAACGCGGAAATATCGCTGCTTGTACATACATATGCATGTTACATACATATGCATAATGGATACATTTGTATGTCATATTTATTAAGTATATCGGTATAGCCTTTCCTACTCCTAAAGGACGGTTCTAAATAATTTCTTCTTCGTCGTTTTTTAATCTAACATTTGGAACATGAATGTGTTAATTTTTAAAAGCATAATAGTTATATTTGTATGATTTAATGCCTCGTCACACGCTCCAGCTGATTAAAGCAGATTAAGATAATCCTCGTCATCCCTTGATGCAACAGATACACACTCTCAATAATTTGGAGATTAATCGTCACCCGATGGGGTACTATAGTGCTCAATTTTTTGGAAATGAAGTAGGGGACGTTTTGTCACCAGGGGGAGTCAAAAACCCAGGTACCAAGCATATCTGACGTCATCATTTAAAAAATGCAATACATTCATGTAAAACAGCATCATATGGTCAGATAAATATGTTCAATTTTTTAAATTACGACGTCACGTGTGCTTGGTACCTGAGTTTTTGACTCCCTCCAGTGAAAAAACGTCCCCTAATTCATTTCCAAAAAATAGACCACTATAGTACCTCCGCGAGTGACAATTTGTCTAAAATTATATACAGTGTACATATGGACTCGTTCATATATTACGTTATCATTTTCAATAGGGTAGGATCCGAAATTTTCCTTATCCCCCACGTTGAAAATGATTACGTAATATACGGACAATCCCTATTCATTATGCGTTTAAATGTGACGCTTAAAGCACTGATGAATAAATTACTGACAAATATTTATTTATTAAGTAACTTTCCCACACATAATTTATGGGAGCGTTCAGATATCGTCTGAACCGTCTGCATGCAAACCTCCAACTGACGACCTTCCGTGTGATAAGTGATGGCACGAAGTAGAACCGCGTTCCCAGCGAGGGTATCATCCGGTACGATGCTGCACCTCACGGTGTACATCTTACCTGGATTGACAGATGAATCAGGCAAGACGACGTCAAAGAGACGATGCGGCCATGATTGATACACGACTTCAACCACAAGACTGAGCGACGTTTGGGCAGTGCCTGTAGATTAATTAGGTGTAATTGGGTTTGATTAATTGATGATTGACTTAGGATTAGTAATTCTAAAAAACACATTTCGGGCAAAATCTGCCCATAGAGTATCCAACGTCCCGCGGGTATTTACTACCCCAAAACCCACCAAAACCCGCAAATCCCCAATAATTTAAAAAACCCGAGGGAACATTCCCTGGTGACCATGTTACTTAAGCACACAATAAAATCGACAAAACGTACTTGTGATGAAATCATACTCAATTCCGTACTCTTGCCCGGGTATGAAAGCACATCGTTCCTTGCAGTCAGAAATTCTGAGTTGAATTGGTGTTCCGTACCCACCTGAGACTCGTTAATCAATTAAATGTTACCATTCTCGTTTCTTTTATAGTGACTAAAAAATGTATAAAGTTTACGCACCACAGCGAGTAAAATTCACTATGCCTCTAGTGCTGTCGGCCGTATTTTGCACGAAACTGGCCTCACGAATGCCAAGGGAGCAGATGGAAGATGCTGACGCAGAGGCGGCAAAAAGCGCCAAGGCAATCAAATATTTAGTGGTGGAAAACATCGCAAAATTTGAAAGTTTTTTACCAAAATTTGAAATAATGAAAGTGGAAAATTTGTCTGGATGAGTGGGTACGTGATGAAAGGTTATATTTATGTAGTTCTATGCTGGATCCGCGTGATTGACATAAATCTGGCAATTAATTAATATGATAAGATAATATGATACGATATTCACCTTAGAGTGGGATGTAATATGTTTGTAAGGAAGCCGTTATCTATCCAGGAAAATTCTGACATATTATTTTGTAAGTAATCACAACAGAGAGTTTAACCTGAGTATTAAATACGCAGAAACTAACAAGGGAAACTTCCGAGTTGTCGGTCGTGTCCAGGGTACCCATGATGGTTTTTTAGTATCTACTAGGACCCTAGATGAAAGATTCATTCATATTTCAGTGTAAAACTCAGATTTGGGGCCATGGCGTGGCGCCACATTCGCCATGTGTGAAGGTTTTTAATTTTTAAAAACGCCATAACTTTTTAAAATCCTGCACGGATTTTCAAAATTTTTGACTAAAATTATGACAAAGGGTTCAATCTTCGGATGTGGTGAAATTCTGCAAAAAGTTGATTGGTTCTTCAATATTTTGATTGTTTTAGACATTCAGTTTTAAAAATATGTCAAAAATTCAGAATTTGACCTCTGTGATATTTAAAGTCCGACCTCCGTTATCATTTTAAGCCACCCAAAATTTTTAAAATCCCTAGGAAACTGCAAAACGTCTGGAGTTTTGAAATTGGTCGAGAATGCGGAATGTAAAGTCTGGCGCCGACGTGCAATATGCGTTTTGCGCATAAATATGAATGGATCCTTCATCTTGGCTACCGGTAGATTCGTAAAACATAGTATATAAGCTGGATACGACCGGCACCTTGGAAGCTTCCCTTCTAAGTCTAGATTAACTTGTGCTTGTTTCAATTAATATGCATAACACTGGAAGTCACGCGTGGTAGAAAGGTTTCGGCAATTTTTGCATAATGGAAATCTAATCACGACACGTAGAGGAAAACCGATTTGGAAATTCGTTTAATTAATTAATCGATAAAAACCTCCCAACACAACGTGCCGTACGATGTACATATGCATGCATTGCATGCATTTTTTTTAGTTTTATTGTCCCTTCCGATTGTGACCAAGTAGTAAAGTATTGAAAAGAATGGTTTATGAGAATCAAAATTGCGTCACACATAACGTCTTCGGCAGTGTTTCTGCTGTTAAAAAACACCAGTACAAAATTAGTGCATAAATATGTTTTTTAACGTTTAATAACACCCATCAAAAATCCGGAAAAGCGCATGAAAATGCACGAAAACGCACTAAAATCATTTACGTGCAAATAATATTGAAATATTCAATAATATTCGATTAATTGAAAAGTCTTTGTGCTATGGTACTATTATATTTTCCTCGTCATTTTAATATTTTAGTACAAAACAATTTTTCATTTTTCAATACATAGGTATTCAATGACTCTGGCTAGAAAGTGGTGTCGTAAGGTTTCAAACCAGCGTAGAAGTTCCGATAACTGAATCTTACCCCCATTTGATAGAGGAGCAAAATATAATATTTCTTGAAAATATGCAATTTTCTGCATAAATTGCATTTTATTTTTTATTATGCATTTTTATGCATTTTTATGCACCATGCATGCATAAAAATAATTTCTTGTGCACAAAAAGACACACTCATTTTTAGAGGGGAACTTTATGCAATTCTCAAGAACACCTTTGATTTCCCATTTCTCAGTAACTCAGTTTTTATAATTTTTCAACGAACTTTTTATGCTGGTTAATATGGTGCTGGTGAAGTCATGTATGCGCTCCGATCGGTGATGATTTACATAACACAATTTTGGTAAGAATGTATTAGACGATTTTAGCCTAGGAGAATATTCTTGCTTACAAAATGGTAAAAATACTCCTGCGACAAATGTCTGGATTCAAATTTTGAAATAAACTAAAATTTTTGTCCGGTTTATTAGGCTGTAACAATTATGCTTCACCGATATGTATGTACACTCTTAGAAAACTGGTATTAAACCATTACCGACCGGAATACATAGATATGTGACTCTACCGGGACTAGTATTAACGGGAATTACTCTTCAGTAATATTGTGGTAATGAAAAATTAACAACTCAGGAACAAATTACTACCAATCCGGTTGGAAATTATTACCAAATCTATATAAGGACGTAGTCTCTATGTGACTCTACCAGATTTTTAACAGTGTGGTCGCTTCCGGCCAAAACGATGCATAATTTCTCATAGCTTGGGCTGGAGGCATAAGACGCTACTTACTACATATATGCATTCAAATATTACTCAACGCTAACACTCACGTGTGCATACATACACATAACTAACGGGGTCTAAATTACATACACAACATCAGTTCATTTATTATTTGGTGAAGTGAACCGAAATCCCTAGAAAGAGCTTGTCTGTCCATCCGTCCGTCTGCCTCCATGATGAGATAAACGATCAAAGATTTCGAATTTTTTGTTTAGTCAGACGTAGTTTTGGGCGGGGATTTCAAAAATCGACATAGTTTTGACGTGCCGCGTGCATACCTGTTCAAAAACTTTTTTCATTCATATTCAGTCATTGTCTTTCGAACTCATTTCATTTCACTTCATCTCACTTCATTCTTACTTCACCACATGTGTTAAGCACAGGGTGAAAAATGAAATAAGTGAGAAATCCTTTCATTCACAGTCATTCATCTGAAATGACTGAATCTTTCACTCATTTTCATTCAAATCACAGGAAATTCATTTTCATTCGCCATAATTCTCTATGAATCATTCATCATTGAATCATTCTCTATGAATCATTCTCTATGAACCAGTCACATTAATGAAAGTGAACAGGTATGGCCGCGTGACCGTGTGGTTTCGGCCCGTTTCTGCACACGTATACATTTCGTTTGCAACGTTTACTATTATTACAAAATCATGCAGATTTTTCTCTCTTGGGATTTTGGGATAACAAAATGTTTCGTATCTTGTAAAGTTGCTTCATTTCATGGGAAAATTTCCTTGAATGAGACTTTTTCGCTTTCCTGGCTGAAATCTACACACATGTAGCTTGCAGGTGAATATACCCTGTCCCATGGAAAGTTAGACAGTGATCCATGACCTGTGGTTTTCGACCTGGTTAGAATATTTTTATAAAACCTTTGGGGTGGTGTAGGTGGGTACCATATCCGTCAGTTTTTGCTGCGTAGAATTTGCCTCAACCGCGTCTTGGCCACCAATGCGAATTTCCGCACCAACCCTCAAAATATCGATTTTCCACACGCTTGTGAAATGTCCTGGCTGATTTTTCGCAATTAACGTTTGAATTCTTCCTGCTTTTGCGCATTGGAGTTTAGGTTAGAATATCTTGTTTTGCAAAAGGCTTAAAACTTTTCGATTCCTTGCAGTTGGGAGGCATTTGAAGGGTTATCTTCTTGAAGCAGAAAATCTAATCTTTCAGCCCCGAAGTACCCGGTTCAAATTTTGGCGTAATGGGAGGTTGCGAGGTGCGGCCAAAATCGAATTTCATTCAGATTATGAATTTTCCTTAACCAGAGCTGTGACTGCTTCAAAAATTTGTTTTTATTAAATTTTGTATTTATGGTACCTTTTGATATATAACCTGGTGAAATGTTGCCAAAACTGTCCGGCTCCAGCCAAAATAGGAATTTCACAAGGAATTTGGTTTTCACTTTAAACTCACGTTGATATTCCACATCTGAAGGGTTGGTGGAGCAAAGAAATTTCAATCCCGGTGTCTCTGAGAGATCAACTTTGCCGTAGTTCCCGTCATAAATATTGACAAATTTTAATGACATTTGTCGACACTATTTTTTAAATTTTTTTTGTACCTTGCTTTTTTGGTCCTTAACGTTCTTTGCGAGACTTTGTTTATTTTTTTTCGTAATCCTCAGTTTATGAACTTAAATGTTGTGGAACAAAGATTTTGAAAACAGCTGTACCCGAGCAGCGCCACGAATTTACGTGGAAGAGTTAGTGGTGAAAAGTGTTTTTTACGTCTTTTGAGTTTTAATTGCTGGCTATGAAAAGAGGTGGTCTAGAAATTTTTAAAAAGTGCACTTTTTGGCATCTTCATACTTCGAAATATAAAGGTATATTGCCGTTTTGTGACAACTTTCCGAGTTGAAGTACTGCCACGTCATGTTCAAGTCACGTCAAGCGATAATTTTGTTGTGAAAAACTCAATTTGCGCGTTTTTTCACTTTGACCCAGATTTCTATTGAATTTCGCCTTTTTAATAAAAAATGCTTTACACCTGCTGGAAGCCCTTGAAATTGCGTTTCAAAAAACTAAGATAGCTAAGCAACAATCTCCACTAATTGCGCTCTGTACTATATGATCCAACTGTGTAACCAAACCTGGGACATGCCTTATTTGGGGTACAACATTGACTATTTGGGGGACAGATGCGGAAATCGATTTTTTAAAGTTGGTGCTTTACAAATTTCAGCATTCGCAAATTTTCAAGAATAAGTAAATTCAGTATGTATGTACTATTTTTGACTTTCCCTCATCCACAAAATTAAGATACATCACGGACGTTATCTAGTAATCGAAAACCATTTATGATTTTCTGGCAGTGAACAAAACGATTTGTCACATGTTATCCGTAATTCACTTCTATTCCATAGCAGGATCGGCCTTTAACTCTGCATATATTTTTTTGCAAGTGTGGGCACGTATGTAAGTTAATGACAATTATTTGCATGGGCACAATAATGTTTTCACTTTTCCAACTCAACCTAAATTGAAAAATTAATTTTAATTATAATTAATTAAATGAAGTTAAAATTTCGTATTTGCAACATTTTTCTACACATGCATTGTAACTGAAAGAACGACTACCAATTCATAGTGCTTTACTAACTAAATCCCTCATATTTCCTCTGAGATCATATCTCTAAAGAAGGCATGGACCTGTATTAAATTGGGGAGCATATGTATATATTTTCGACCAGAGTAAATATTGCGTCCGAATTGCCGACGATAACACGTAATTAAACTAATAAAAAATTAATGCCATAAAGTGTTCGCACTTTTACTCACGTTTAAAATACAGCTAATATCTCTGCAAAACTTGAGCATTGGAAGATCGAGTCTTTTGCCAATTTCATATTAATTGAATTTGTTAAGTACTGATACACATGTAAATTAGCTCAAAATCTGAGAGCGTACGCTGGGAGACCGCCATTGTATGTACCTGCAATTAATACATAACGCAAACATTTATTGACCAATATGTAAATCCGAATTTGACTCATGCAATGACATTAGATAATATCTAATGTGGAAGTGCCGAGGATATGACTACATAATATGTAATCATATCCAATTAGCATTTGTTGGCGGATATGACAAATTTGACAATTCTTTGAAATCCGCCGAAAGGATGCGTAGGTTTCGATGATGATCCAAGTATTTATAAAGTTACATATACTTCAAAAAAAGCTACATATATACCTGTTGTTTTCGCCTTATTGATGGTTATACCATACACCTTATCAGAACCAATAATTGTGCAGGGGTGTGTGTTACCAGTTGAACTTGGCGCTTGATTACACACGTGTCTCACATTGTCCTAGCTAATGTCACCTAGCGGCAGTTGGGTCACTATGTTACATTTTTCGTTTCTAGAGGGCGTTTTTCGCTAAAGTGTCAAAACGTTTCCAAAACGTTCACGAACACGATAACAACGAAACACGCCCTTTAGATCTGCCGGGACTTGATCAAATGAACGGGCACACCCCCTAAACTTAACACTTTACCTGAGACCTGCGTACAACCCATAAGGTTGACACTTTACAGAGTTGGCACTTGACCTGTGACCTGGGCACACCCACTATACTTGACCTGTGACCTGGGCACACCCACTACACTTGACTTGTGACCTGGGCACACCCGCTACACTTGGCCTGTGACCTGGGCACACCCATTACACTGCACCTGCAACCTGGGCACACCCACTTGACTTGACATTTGACCTGCGACCTGCGTACAACCCTTAAACTTGGCACTTAACGTAGTTGACACTTGACCTGTGACCTGGGCACATCCACTGTACTTGACCTGTGACCTCTGTGCCCCACGTTATAGTTGACACTTGACCTGTGCCTGACTAATTTTAATTACCTACCAGCGCCAACTATCGCATGTTGGCTGTTTTTCAGCGCTAGAGGGCGGGTTTTTGCTTTAAGTGCCTAAACGTTCTTAAAACGTTAGAACAATGCCATACTTTAGAGTTGTGACCGAACGTTTTTCGTGGTCACCCCTTTAGAGTCGTGACCTAACGTTTTTCGTGGCCCCCCCCCCTTTAGAGTCGTGACCTAACGTTTTTCGTGGTCACCCCCTTTAGAGTCGTGACCTAACGTTTTTCGTGGCCCCCCCCCCTTTAGAGTCGTGACCTAACGTTTTTCGTGGTCACAACCTTTAGAGTCGTGACCTAACGTTTTTCGTGGCCCCCCCCCCCTTTATAGTCGTGACCTAACGTTTTTCGTGGTCACCCCCTTTAGAGTCGTGACCTAACGTTTTTCGTGGTCACCCCCTTTAGAGTCGTGACCTAACGTTTTTCGTGGTCACCCCCTTTAGAGTCGTGACCTAAGGTTTTTCGTGGTCACCCACTTTAGAGTCGTGACCTAACGTTTTTCGTGGTCACCCCCTTTAGAGTCACGTTTTTCGTGGTCACCCCCTTTAGAGTCACGTTTTTCGTGGTCACCCCCTTTAGAGTCGTGACCTAACGTTTTTCGTGGTCACCCCCTTTAGAGTCACGTTTTTCGTGGTCACCCCCTTTAGAGTCGTGACCTAACGTTTTTCGTGGTCACCCCCTTTGGAGTCGTGACCTAACGTTTTTCGTGGTCACAACCTTTAGAATCGTGACAGCACGTTTTTCGTTGTCACACCAATAGAGTTGTGAACTCTATTATTAAACATCGTGCTACATATAAAACGTGACAATCAAGTCCACGCTGTGTGAAGGTAAATGTGCAACAATTATTCAGCTGGAATTTGTATCGCAAAACTAAATAAAATTTGAGGAGGCTTCGTCGGAATACATGGGTGTGTGTTGTAAAAGCAATTTATTCGAGCTTTCGATGCTGAACTTGCATCATCATCAGGACATTTGGACTTTTAACAATTTTTTGGAAATCAAAAACAGTACATTTCTCAAATTAAAAATGATATTTGTTGCACTATAATGTAATTATGGAGTTTAAATAAAATTGTTTTGCTTAGAGCCCGCATTGCGGGCTTAAGAGACTAGTATGTAAATAAATACATCCTATGCAGACACACAATGGTTTAGTGAATCATGAAAAATATATTTTTAGATAATTACCATGCATCATAACCATATGTGGGTATGATGCATAGTAATAATTATCAGTTTTGCCACGCATCTGTTTGCGACTCCGATAATACATACGTTGATAAGTCATATATGTTTGTATGTAGGTATACATTAGGTAAGCTTTATTATGATTTGGGTTCTAATCAGGAAAGTGGCATACAATATTTATAGCAGAACTCATTCCACTGATAATCTCCCCAGTCGGTGCAAACGTTAATGGAATTGATGTTTTCTGACGGACGATGTTTTTACAAGTATGTATGTATGGTAATCTGAAATCTCGCATTACCTGTGAAGTACTGATACATTCCACAATTTCACATCTACCTTGATCCAAATATGTTCATATAAAAGTTCGTCCAACCCAACGGAATGGGTGAGGACGTTTGAAAGTTACAAGATGTCCATACATTATCGAGTTAAGAAATTTCAAGAGAGTGAGATCGAGTTAACCGGTCAGTTTTTGGGCCAAGGGAGATACGCTGTTGTTTCCAAAGGTGTGGTAAATTTTTTGAAATTGTCTGATTCCATAATTCCTGAGGTTAGGATCTGTTTGTACAATATTGTTTTGAACACATATTTTTAGTAACAATAGGGGGAAGGTACGCCGCGTTGAAAGTGTACAAAGAAGAAGGATTTTTAGAAGCTGTAGATGAAGTTAATACATTTACCAAATTGAGGCATGTAAACATTATCAGACTCATGGGGATTTTACATAAAGGTAAAGTGTTGCAACTTATCAGTATTTTTATTTCGACCGTCTATATCTTTATATCTTTATTTCGGGTAGATATGCATGTATGTACCAACTATTCAATTTTACATGCATGCATGTATGTATGTAAGTGTATGTATGTATAATACTTGAGACCAACAAATTGCTTGCACTAACAATGCAAGTCTTTTACGTATAAAAGTCCGATCTCAATGGGACCAATTTTATTTCGTTCACTACAAAAAATAAGCATACCCGTATATTTCCTAATGCGCTAATTTGAGCGCGAGGCGCGAATTTTAACCTGTTTTCCATCCAAAACCTCGTTTTTTTAAAATTTGGCAAATTTTCGAATTTCAGCGCGAATCAAAAAATTCGAAAACATAACAGAATGGTCTACCTGAATTAGATGAAAAATCCAATTGTCTTGAAATTTGAATTTCAGAATTTTTTGCTAGTTTTTGAAAATCATTAAAATTACAAACTCTTTCAAATTTTTAAATTTAAAAAAAATCTTGCATGTGGATTTTTATAAGTCAGGTAGATCATTCTGAAGAGAAATGTTTTCGAATTTTTTGATTCTCGCTAAAATTCGAAAATTTAGAGAATTTTTAAAAACCGAGGTTTTGGCTGGAAAACAGTTTAAAATTCAAGTCTCCCGCTCAAATTAGCGCATTAGGAAAAATGCAAATACACGGGTATGCTTATTTTTCGTGGTGAACAAAATAAAATTTGTCCCATTGAGATCGGAGTTTTACACGTAAAAGACTTGCATTGTAAGTACACTTACAGAGTCACATATGTGCATATGTACTTCTTACTGGTATTGATTTGGTAATAACTTTCTACCGGATTGCACCTAGTTTTTTTAGAGTGGTAAATTCTTCATTACCACAACATTACTGAACCGTAACTACCGTGCCGGTATAGTCATGTACATACATGCATACCGTAAAAACTCAAATAGTAGCCGTTGCTCTAATAGTAGCCGTGCTCAAATAGTAGCCGTGTCTATTTTCAAAATTTTGTAAATAGTAGCCCTGCTCAAATAGTAGTCTTATTCGAAGATACGCGTCTCTATTTCCATACAACCACACTTCTTGCCAATTCATTGAGATAATTAAATTATAGTTCAATATAACCGCAGTTGCGCACTATCGAAGCGATCAGTCGATGACAAAACACGAATTTAGCTCATCGAAGGAATTGTTGAAGAGCAGGTGGAGCAGAATAATATTCTAATGGACTACGACTCTAAGGGCAAAATTAGTGTTGTTATTAAAATTTAATTTGAGCTTGATTCAGGAAATAAAAATCAAAGTCGTACGCAAATAGTAGCCGTGTCAATCTTCATAATTTAGAAATAGTGACCTTGCCCAAATAGTAGCCTTGCTCAAATAATAGCCGGGTCCCAGCCACCAATTTTATAAATAGTAGCCCCCGGCTACTATTTGAGTTTTTACGGTATGCACTCCGGCCAATCATAATTTCATACCAGTTTGGGAAGAATATATTTATTAAGTAGCTTCAGCTACTTTATGCGAAGACTTTGTCCGTCTGTCTGTCTGTCTGTAAGCAGGATAACGTGAGAACGGATCGAGATAATCAAAATCGGTTTACGACATTATACATAGAACCCTAGGGGGAGGATCCAATCAACTTTTGGGGTCAATCGGACCACACTCCCTGGCGCCAGGGGATGTGGTCGGGGCAAAATGAGATTTTTAGTGCAATTGAATCAATGGATGAAATAGAGTGAAATTTTGTGTTCCCGAGTTGTGCCAGACCCTCTCGTCGCAAGGGGGTGTGATGGGGCAAAATGATATGTTTTCAAAAATTGAATTTATAGATAAAATTAAGTGAAATTGAGTTTTTCCGCGATGTCGTGGGACTGGTTGGGGTGAAGTAGTCTGAAGCTACTTCCTTATGTGCGTTTACGACGGTTTATTCTTCGTATGTATAGGATAAGAATTATAGTGAAAATTAACGCATTGTCACAAGATGATGCATACAATATGCATTGTAAGGCGAGACATGCGACATTGCAAGCTTTTGTAGAAGATTCTTATCAGTCAAATTTAATCAATGTTCTGCAATAATATTAATTCTGAATGGCAATATCGTTTACGTTTGCCATCAACTAAAGGGTGCGCGAAAAGGTTAATGCAAAACAAATCTTCCTCAAAACTCTGATTAGCAACTAATTCAACTTTTTTATGTTAACTTCTGCTTAATTATCTTCAATTAAATAAAAAGTAGCATTTCCATGCATATTAGCAATTTTTTTCGTTTCAAGTAATTCAAGTATGCCACCCCAAATTTACCCCGCACTATCTCTAAGCTCGTGCGGTTGGGGTAAAAATGTTATCGTGGCTTACCATTATTCCATTATTTACATGATACCCGAGATAAGATACACTGTTAAAAATGTGGTGAAGTTACATCTATGTACACTACGGGATGGTATTGATTCGGTGATAACTTCTCCCCGGGTTGGTAATAAGTAATTTGATTCTGAGTGGTGAGTTTTCAACACCACAACGGTGTACATTTTTCACTATACGGTTATCACCCGGTTAAGTCATATATGCACTCCGCTTGGTGATGATTCAATACCATTTTTCTAAGAGTGTATGTATATACTTAAATTTTTACACATATATACCCAGTACTCCCTTAGTTACTGTTATTGTAGCGAACCCAGTTTATCGAATTTCGAAAAAATAAGTACAGAACTGAAAAAGCGAATGAAATTTCGTGTAGGAAACACTATTCACCTATCAAAATGTCAATCTCGGAGTACGCACGCGTTCCAGCGGATATTGACCTCATTTCTATACCGTTGATTTTTTATGGATTCCAAACTTGTGCGGGGTTTAGCACAAACACCTAGCTCCAGTTTGGATAATATGTCATACTCCAGCAAGTTTAGGTTCGGCGACAGTGAATTTTTTTCTTGATACGAAATGGAGTCAGAAATTTAGGATATTTACCACCCAATTAATATTTTGACCTCATGAGCAGGACCTGAGCCTTGTTTGAATGTCATGGCGCTATTTTTGAGTAGGTAGTGGTTCAGTGGTTCTACAATTCGCTCGAGAACTTGCAAAAATAATTTTTGCTACAAAATTTTACCCCTAGAGGAAGAAACCCCACTTTTTCTGCTCAATCCAACTGATCTCCAATAAAAAAATCGTAAAACCATGATGGCGGGCACGATCAGCAATTTTGACGAATAGTCCAGACTATTTAGTAGTGTGTTGAAACGGTATTTTGGATATTTTATTTGGCCTCACCCATAAAGGTAGGCTCATGTGTTAAAAATATCCGTTCCCAATTGTCAAGCGCGTACCGCATAATCAGCGTCCGGGTTCTGATGGGTCTGTTTTTACTTTGCGTGTAGCTAGGAAGTAGTTCTCCTCAAATCTTGAAGACATAAGTCTACGGTTTAGTTTAAGGGCTCGGGACTTACTTTTACTTCATCCGTTAATTTGTCAGGGAGATTTTCTTAGCGCTCGGTATGAATTCGGAGGAATTCATTTTTTCGTGACTTGGTTAATTTTGGTGACCTTTTTGACCGTCTCCTTCCACTTCTTTTTTGATCATTGACACTATTACTGTCAGTGCACCATTTGATGGTACGGTCGGCCACCTTGCAATCAATTCCGATTTTTATAGAGCAATTTAAAAATATCGGATTTTTTTGTTTCTCAAAATGTTCTTGAAAAATTGCAACACGCCATGTTTCCTGACCTATGAATTTGGTACCTTGGGTCACAAAAGTTTTTGAAACATGGTTTCTGACGGACAATTGCATGAGGATTTCAATAAAAAATAGTACAACTTTCTAAAAAATTGTCTTGCATGCTTAATTTACCCGGGAAATCTTGTAACAGCAATTGAGGGAGTACTAGGTACATACACTCTTAGTCAACTGGTATTGATTCGTTACAAATCATTACTGGACGGAACATATATATATGACTCTACGGGCATCTGTAATATCGATCGTTACGATGTAGTAATGTGGTGCTAATAATATCTTTACGACTCAGAATCAAACTATAAATAAGTACTATAACCAATCCGGTAGGGAATTATTACCAAACCAATACAAGTACGGAATACATATGTGACTTTACCGGATGCTTTACAGTGTAACAAATTTCTCCCTACATGACACAACTCGATCGTTTCACTAAAATTTACCTTCGCAATACATATCTAAATATGTATCTAAATACATGTCTTTACTTTTACAGATTTCTCTAAGGAACCCAGAGTTCTTCTAGAATACATGCCCGGGGGATCATTAAAGATTTACCTTCAAATGGAAAATTTATCTGAGGTATTTACATATTTATTAATAAATACACCGATGTACATCTAATCAAGACAGCCGAAGTCTTGTTTGATAAAATTTGATATAAAAATTTGATATAAAAATACTTCAAAATTTTGCACATTGAGTGAGTCAATTTTATAAAATGGGCTCAGTCATCGGCATTCCACGAATCCTTCAAATATGAACATTTAGAAGATATGAGTGAATGTTTTGTAAATAGTTTTCAAAGCAAAATTATGTAGCCCAATTATTAAGGGGTGAAAACCCTTTAAAAGATAGATCGTTATGGCCGTCTGTCTGTCTGTTTCTTCAATTCGTGAAAGCAGCGACATCTAAATAGACCAAAATTCTGCCTCGCAGTTAAATTTGTGCATTTTGTAAAATATAAAAATATGGATACGCTTATCTTTGTCCTTGATCAAAAATTGTCGATTCAAAGGATAAATTTGCTTCGTAACGACAGCATGCACTTATGTACATATGTATTTCCTCTGATCTATGCCAATAATTCGAATTTAGTTTACTTATTTGCAGCTAAAATTGCTACAGATTTCCCATAACGTAGTTTGTGGGATGTTGTATCTTCACGACATGAAAGTGATTCACCGTGATTTGGCCGCCAGAAATATTCTCATCGCCGTCAACGGGGTTGCCAAATTGTGTGATTTTGGTTTGTTGTTTTATACCCGAAGCCAATTGGGGTCATACTTACGATTATTTGGCAAGTATATTTCTGCAACTAATTATTCTGTTATAGAGATCAATAAAATGATGGTTATTTGCATATTTCTCGCAATATCAGGGTTTACTAAGTAAAAAAACTAGGCCAAATTTACGAAATGTTTTAAGACCGATAGTTTTATGAAATTAATGTACGAGTTTTTACAAATTAAGGGGCGTCCAAAATTTGCATAATTTAGTAGAGCTTTTGGGGCTAATCGCCTTTCGTAATTTACTTAGAACTTTCTTACGGAATTTACAGGATATATGAACTCGTAATATGTGCTAATAAATTACATACACAGGGTTCAGAATTGGAGCACATTCCAATAAAATGGTCACCAAAAGAAAGCATTGAGTGGAAAGTGTTACACAATCGAAGCGGGAAATACTCTACTGCATCGGACGTGTGGGCCTTTGGTGTCACCATGTTTGAAATATTCACGGGAGGAAATGACCCATATACCGCAACAGACTTTGGGGGAACGGTAGGCCTAAAAAATTCATAGATTCTCATAATTTGAAGTATAAATATGACTACTTTATAGCAAGGACAAGAAGATGTGGCCAACGCAATTTACATGGATGCCAGCCCAATTACATATTTAACGCCCCCTGTGTCCGAACAAGTTGTGAGCATAATGAGAGCCATTTTCAAATCAAATCCAAGCGATAGGCCATCGTTTGTCGAAATTAGGAGAATGTTGGAAGTCCAAATTAGTGCTATTGGGAGCGTGGATGCTCCGATGGTAGGACTAGGAAGCGTTTTCATAGATGATCCCATTACCCACGAGGCCAAAGTGAATCAACTTTTACAGTCGGGGGCAGATGAGAGCATATTTACAGGTTAGTGTCCCATAAAAATTCAGTTTAGGTACAAGTGAATTATGAACCAAAAATAAATCATACAGATTCTCCTAACCATCGGCTTGAAGAGACCATGCTTATCCGTGAAATTTTTAGCTTGGCAAATTCGAAGGAAATAATTCTAAAGTTCAAAGACGGAGATGAGTTTATTAATAGTCTTAATTCCGAAGGAATTCTTGGAGCTTCCCATTATGACTACTTGGTAACTACTTAATGATGCTAATTTTTCGCGGGTGGAAGAGACAATTTATTGACAAGCTATCGGTATCGGTACTGTGTACAAAATGTTCACAATTAGTGGGGTATTCATACAAAATAAAACCGCCCAGGGAAACAATTGTGAGTGGTAGCTGAAAAACGAACTTCTTATCCTTACAAGGGAAGGTCCCCGACTGCTCCCCGAGTTCAGGGAACTCACTATGTTTTTCAGAATCTACTAGGACCCCAAATGAAGGATTCATTCATATTTCCGTGTAAAACTCATATTTGGCGCCATGGCGTGGCGCCAAACTTAAAAGTTTGCATTTTCGACAAATTTCAAACCCTCATAATGTGAGAGAGATTGTTTCATAAGGTGGGATATATCGGCAGGCTAAAAGGCAATAGCAATCACCCAGTGTGATCGTGGACCAAAGGTAGGTCGCTCTGCGCGATTCAGATGAGATTCCGGTTTCGAGCCCGGACGGTTGCACTACATTTTTGCTAATTTGCCTATGCCAGCCAATATATTTAGCCCACAATAACTTTTGCAGTTTATGTCAGATTTTCAAAATTTTATGCTTAAAATGATCACAAAAGTCGATATTTTTGAGAAAAAAATAAAAATACAAAATTTCTAATTTTTGAGATATTTTTAGCATTTTTTCGACGAACCCCCATTTGTAAGAAAATTACGAAATTTTGCGAGAAGTTAAAAGCAATAATTTTGGGAAAAATTTCATGGAATACGAAAGTTGAACTCCTTGTCATCATTTTTGCCAAAAATTTTTAAAATCCGTCCAGGATTTCAAAAGTTATGGGGGTTTCAAAAATAAAAACATTCAAATTTGACAAATTTGGCGCCACGCCACGGCGCCAAATATGACTTTTGCACGTAAATATGAATGAATCCTTCATTTGGGGTTCTAGTAGATTCTAAAAAACATAGTGGGTACCCTGAACTCGGGGAGCAGTCGGGGACCTTCCCTTGTTAGTGAAAAACTGTTACCTTAGACATTTTTGACATTTTTCAAAAATAAAATCCATCCAACCACAATTGTTGTGGGCCTTACCTAGGTAAAAATTTAGATCCAGATTACAAGCGCTCTTGAGATAAACCGGTCGGATAATTGTGACTCCAATTGTACATTGCCGTTTCGTTATATGTACTTATTTCAGTGCAAAATCGTCCACAATTCTTCCAAATTAGCTGTACTCTGCCAACATATAAGAAACAGATGGACGGATAAAGACATTCCGATACTGAAGAAAGCTCTAACTGCTAGTAAAAATTTTCTTGTTCTACAAATTGTAGATAAAGTTATTACAGGTTCGCCAATTAAAAACGCCTATCGAATAAAAGGACAAATCATTGTTCATATTTGACTGTATAATTTTCTGTAGATGCACTTGCCAACACGTTCAGCAAAATAATAAAGCGTACCCGACTCACAAGTCACGACTCAACGCAGGATAAAGAAGTCGACGCGGATTACGAAATGCGGTCCCGATTAAGTGATCTTATTTCCAGTTCAGTTTCATTTTTTGACAACCAGGATTTTCTAAATAGTACACCCCGTCCGATCGATGAGGATACTATGATTGTAGATAATATTGACCCAAGGGTTTTAAATAAACCTTTCGAAGAAGACTTTAACATAGCGGAAGAAATAGTTAAGAAATACGGCAAAAATAATTTGCGAGTTTCAAACGTAGAACGAATATCTAAAGGACATAAAGCTGGCTTGAAGGATTCCTTAAAGATCAGAATGAAATTAAGAAGGAAACCCATTGGCAGAGTGGCAAAAGCTGAATTGAAGAGCACAAAGTCTAAAATGATTGAAGAAATGATAAAAAGCGGAAGTTACAAGGGTGCCCAGGAAGATTCCACTGTTACATTTGTGGGAATACAAACTCTTGAGGAGTGGGAAATTGAAGCTCCAAAACCATATTTGCGAAATCTGGGCAAGTCAAAGAAATTATTAAGGCTATTCCGAAACCTGCGAGTAAAGAACTCCAAATATAAGCATGGTATGGTTGGCGATTTTAGTCATTCTGAATTTTAAAAGCATAATTAATTCTACTTGGAAATTGCTTATAAAGATGCGGGACAGACGGGGACTAATTTGGAAGGAGATCAAACAAAGATATATCAAGGACCAACGTTTCCAGACACAAACATTCATCCCCATCCGATCGAAAACGTGGATGCATCATTAATACCTGGTGATAAGCCTAGTTTGTCATATTTGTCACAAATGGAAGCTGAAAGTTTGTCGCCAAACATGGAAGATGAAACTGTAGCAGATTCATTTTTTTCATCGCCACTGGCTCCTCATCAATCTTCTGACTTCTTTATTTCAAAGAATTTGGCATCAATTCCCAGCCAAGAAACTAATATTATGGGATTTAATGATTGCCATAGTGCGGAATTAAAACCGAACAGTGATAATCATGATAGCGGATTTTTTTAATTTCTTGAGAAATTTGTAAGTCGTTCCACGCATTTACACACATATGACGCAATATTGCAAGTGGATATTTGATAACCCAAGTATCCACTTGGTTTGGAAGCAAGTGTAGTTAGAGTTTAATAAGTATGAGACGTTAAAGGGGGGAATTTCTTTTACCATGAACACTTCACCGACGAGTAAAATTTAAAATGTACATCGAGTGGAAGACTGATAGAACGATGAGATATCCACGTAGTATTGTAAGTGCAATATTAGTTACACCTGAAGATTTTTAAGGACAATAAATTATAATTCGACATTGTTTATTAATAAATATGAATCATTTCAGACGCTCTAAAATACTTTGGGAAAACGAAGTATAATTGTGTTATATAACAATGTTTATGTAATGATGTATCGTAAAAACAATAGTGGTATTCACAGTAACCGATTATTGCGATTATAATCATTATCGATTATAATCACCCAAAAATTCTCTATGGGAAAAAATAAACCAATGTGATTATAATCGGCAAAAAAATAATCCTCTCCGAGGACGATTATTTGGATTATAATCCTTGATCCAAATGCAATTTTTTTTAAAGCGTCCGAAAAAGTAGCCGTGGCTATGATACTATTTAATGAGCCATTAATCCGCGAATTTAATTAAAGTGGAAGTTAAGCAGAGTTACAAGTATTTCCTCAAAATCCTATTGCTGTTCAAATTCTCTTTGAAGCGTTTGAAATAAACGCACAAATTTCAGAATATTAATACTTACATACACTGTAAAGCATCAGGTAGAGTCACATACTGAGGGTAGTCCTCATCCGTGAAAACGATTTTGACCTTTAATATCTTTGGCGCTAGTAGAAATTTTGAATTGAAATTTTTACAATTTGTTCACCTTATAGTCAGCATTATGGGTGCAAAATTTCAATTCGCTAGTCTAAATGGCGCCAGAGATATATGCATACGAAAAAATAGATCTGTTCTAAAACTTTCCAAAACTGCATAAATTTTAAGTTTAAGAATATTTTTTAAACCTTCTAGAATTGTGAATTGTTTATGGAATTTTATGTGGGTGGTATGCAAATTTTTGGCATCTATGTGGCTTTCATAAATAACTCAAAATTTCCCAATTTTTTTAAAAATTCATTCCATACCAGGTGGATTTGTACAAAAAAAAGCGTGAATAAAGTTTGTTTTTGTGTTAAATGGAATTTTATAAATCACAATAGCTGAAATGTTTTCATGTTTATTATTTTAGCAGTTAGAGGAGACATTACTGATGGTAATGCAAGCAGATTTTGTACTAAAAATGTTTAATTTCGGAGGTACTTGGGAAAAACTAGCGAAATTTTGACAAATTGGGGGCTGTTATAGCTTTTACTCTGAAACTATACCCAGTTATTTTTTTATCAAAATTTAAACTGCATTGTGTACTACAGACATGGGCTCACACAATTTGCTATTTCCTGACATTTCTAGCCTATCAGCCACTGCTCCATGTCCTTTATCTGGTAATTTATGTCTGGAACAAAAAAAGTCATCATTGTTTTACTTTGGAGTTAGTTGAAGTTTTTACACTAGAAAATGGAAATTTTGCCCCTACAATACCAACGCTAGTGCCTATTAATTCAAAAAAAATTACAAGTTGAAATTACTACCAGTGCAAAAGATATTAAAGGTCAAAATCGTTTTCACGGATGTGGACTACCCTTAGTATGTGCTCCGGGTTAGTATTGATTTGGTAATAATTCATTACTGGATTGGTTATAGTTTGATTCTGAGCGGTACAGATTTCATTACTAACTCATTACTACGCCGTAACGATCGATATTACTGATGCCGGTAGAGTCACATATGTACTCCGTCCGGTAATTATTCATAAAAATTCAATACCAGTTGCCTAAGAGTGTATGTATGTATGTGCAAGGAGAGTTGGTAAGAGTTAAATTACGGAAACCAAAGTTACTAAATTATTATCGGTTTTTATTGATATTTTCCATATGTATGTATGACAAGCCCTAAATTTTGATGTATTTAATAAATCCTGTATATTTATATTTATATAACTCTGACAATGAGTAAGGCAGATCAATCAGATTAAGAAACACCATAAATGAAGTCACGCACAAATTTCAATTTTTTAGACCCCTAGTAACGATTTGAACCCCCATGTCATATGTGGCGCAAATCGCCCAAAACTTTTACCCAGCCCCCTTAGCCGTGACATAATTTATGCACATCTCCTTATAGGAAAGGTGACAAAGTTGTCTATGCTTAAATTTGAAATTATAAATATGTTAATTTGTCTCTGCTTGTCGATATATAAATTATTAACCCCGCCCCCTTCTTCCACTTCCTGATCCCCTTGAAGAGGAGAAAATTGACCCCACCGACGTCGCCCGGCCTCGTCCACCAGTTCCACTCGACGACGACGCCCCCGGTGACAACGACCTGCTCCTCGGTGGACTCTCAACCGGATTATCGACCCAGGGAGATTGATAGAATTTCGTACCTCCAGGACTCTCAGCCTTTATTCTGGTACGAGTTGGTCGCTCATTCTCCGAATCTGAGCCATACTGACGTTTATGCGTCAAAGTAAACCTGCGCTGATTTTCATCCATTTGGGAGACTTGTCGGTGCAGGGTGTTTTCTTGTCTTTTCCAATCGCCGTTATTTACTCGGCCGTTTTGTGCGAAAGTGTTTACCGGATCGGTTCCAGAACCGCCGAATCGAGCCGGGGTTGCGTGACCGATCACGTCTCCACCCCTTCTGCCGGGTAGGTCACCCCGATAACCGCTAGTCCCTGTGCCACTGCCTTGATACAGACCGACGTAAGATACGTCTGAACGGGAAGAGATGATGCGACCGTTTGCGTCTCGTCGTGGGGAAAGGGGAATTGCGTGGTACTCGTTTTTCGGGGGTCGAGCCGCATTTCGGGGAGGGTAAGGGTCACCCCCAGAATCGGAGGGACTGCTAGGTGACCAATATGGGGAAGATCCATCTAAAAGGGATGAATTAAAATAAAAAAGACCATAAATTCTGTTAATGCACTCTTAAAAATAATGTTACCCTTTTGAAAAGTAAATCTATTTAGTCTAAATTTTAATTTTACGTAAACTCAGGTCAAATCCAGAGTACCGTAAACTTGATAAAGAGTAAAGTTTAGATTTGGCACATTTAGTTTACTTGAAATATTGAATTCATTTTGCATTTACTTTTCAAGAAGGGTAACACCCAATATTTTTAGGAGTGTGTAACAAAAAATTAATTACCGTCCGATGTGTAAGCAGAATTTACATCGCGGAGGGCCAAGGACAGGAGTAGTCCTAGGAGGGACAGAAATTTGAGAAAATTTGCCATGGCTGTTGCTGCCGTGGAAACGATGCGGGGTCCAGTTTGGAGTCGCTATTTAAGCAATTGGAGAAATAGAGAGAGATGCGAGACGTATGTACTTTTAGTCGGAAGATGAGATTTGGTGGGGGGTCATCGTATCGGGTCAAAAATTAGTCTCCTTATGATACAGTTTCCACGAAAGTTTAATTTTAAGTGCTTATTCATCCGTACACATCCAATCCATAAACATAAAATCCATTGAGTGATTAAGACGATTAATCACACACAATACTTGGAAATGAGAGATTCGAAGATTTTTACTGGACATTATATTAAGAATGGTTGAGAATGTGCAGGATGAATTGGGATGATTTACATACATATGTGTCTGGTTTCTACGGCCTACATACAGGGTGGTCAAAATGTCACGCCACAATGGAAAATTTTTCAATGGGAAAAGTCCCTAAATCTCCATTAGTTACAAGATTTTGGATTGAGATTTTTATAAATTATTATCAAAACTGATGACAAAATTCTTAAAATGTTGCATTTTAGAGACAAAATTTCGGTAACTAATGGAAATTTATGGATTTTTCCCATCGAAAAATTTTCCATTGTAGCGTGACATTTTAACCACCCTGTACATGTTTCTAACTGTTGCAATAGCATCAATGAAGTATTTAAGATACATAATCAAAAAAAAGTGGTTGGGTTAGTGTGTAATCTTTTATGCTTGGAAATAGATAACTGAAAGTGACACGTTTAGCTTAAATTATTACTCCACAGATGAACTCTGCAACATACTAATATTTAGTCTGATAAATATTCGTATATGTGCGTATTTAGATACATAAGTATGTATGTACACACATTATTGCATATGTAACAATCATTGCATGAGAAACATTTATCTATTTAATTATGTATAATGCAAGTCCTCCTGACGTATATGTGTATGTACAAAAATGTGTTGGTGGTTGTTGTGGGACAAATTTTATTTTGTCTAAAAGAAAAACAATTGTTCTATATTTCAACATTTTTGATATAAGTAATTTGATTTTCTTAGAAGTAGAACTTTGAAAAGCTTACTCATAAAAATTTATTGACATTCGTATTTAAACTGCATATATACATATGTTTGTGATGGTTCTAATTTATCGTTGAACCTGAAACTTTTCCTAAGTGACAAAAAGTATGGGTAAAATTTGTATCTAAAATTTAGACATCTATGTAATACAATGCTATATTTATGTAAGTATGAATAAATGTTGATTTTTTAACAAAAAAGCACTATTACTATCATAACCGGGGCCACTGAACGCCCCTTCTGTGTCCACATAGACGTACATATGTATGTATTGCCGACATGTCCCGGTTGCGCAAGGCTGCTAATAAATTCATCAATTCTATTCAGTACCGGTACTAATGGATTCTTTTAAAAATGTTAATCCAATTTACAAATGGAATACTTTGGGACCAAATTTCGTCGTGCAGAACATGCATATTTCTTCTTCCAACCTTGCGAATTCCTTACGAATTCCTTCCAACCTTGCGAAGATATTAGTATTTAAAACATTGATATGAATTATGTATATTCAGGTTGAACAAAACCTGCTTAAAGCTATGATCAAATCTGAAAATAAATTATTTCCTTCGGAGAAAATGCAAAACAAGGCAATTTGCAACTTAAACTTTAAATTCTTGCTGAATATTTCATTCCTACTTTGCGTTACGCCTTACAAGACGGATCAAATTGATGGAAAGGTCACACTAACATCGTACCCCATGCAAAAGGTAAATTCATAAGTACAGCATTATTTTTAGTTCATCTGTTGAATAGATAATTACACCAAATTTTGGGCTAATTTCTATATATCGCATTCAGAGTTCCAATTGAAACTAAAATTTAAAAAATATTGAGGGTATTAATATTTATGATTCCTACTTATCGTTAGTATTCTCCTTATCGTAAAATACATAAGTTCGGTGATTACGCGATTTTCTGAGCGTCGTAAGATTTTGTCGTAAAAAATCGCGTTACTAAGGTTAGGATTTTTATGAAGTTTGATCCTTCTTTTTATTTGAAAACTATTTTGGTTATACGAAGCAAGACAATTGTGCATATCTCAATATTAAAAAATAGGGTCTCATTTAATGGGCCAGACTTTTAATTGAAATCACATAACTAAATATATTGAAATTCCATTACTTGAATTTCCAGTACTTTATATGCCTTAAAACAACCTCTATAACTGAATCCATCAGACACGGAATTTCATAACTTATTCATTTATTTATATGCAAAACCCCATTAATATAGTGCCTTTTCAGGTAAATAACACAATCTCTTGCCTGATAAATATTATGAAAAATAAATTAAATTTAAAAGGAACTGAGCTGCATACATAACCACATGCAAATACGTATTTATGCATGTCTTACTTGGATCATTTTAATGAAAACGGTTAATCTCTAATCTTTTAGATAATCTCAGCCATGCTGACAATTATTTCCATGACCTTTTCACTGGTCCATCTTATGGTTGGCCTAATTAGTTCCAATCTTAAGTCAGCGCCAATTGGAATCTTCTATATTACGTCGTACGTTAGCGACGTTTTGGCCGGGGCAATTTCCGTGGGCACAATTTGGTTGAAAAAACAATCCGTGTGTGACATCCTCTCCATCGGAGTGAATCAGAAGCCTCATTTTGTTAAAGTAATATTAATGGGTGTACTCACGTCAACCGTGAGTCGTAACTCATTTATCTAATATTTTTGAAACCAAAAATCTCATACTCACGCCAACCTTCGCATATTTTTCAAATGGAGCATGGCAACATGTCTTGAGAACTTTGAGAAATTTGCGAGACCTGGTTAAACTTTTGTCGGAAATCCATAGGATTTTTTTCGAAAATTTACCCAGCATGTTTTAATTTCGGCACATTATTTCGTAAACTCACATCCTATATTAAATGCTTTAGAAACTTCCATGGAGACCAAAGTTAAAATAGGAAAATACTTAGAAATGCTGTTACAAATTTGGGAAATCATATCTTTCATACGATACAATTTTTTTGAGCTCTACAGCTCGCAATTTAAATTAATTGCGATGCGAAACATGAGCGTGTCGTGGGTACGCTGTTAACTAAAAATTATCAAATCTTGACAAATTGTGCGCAATTTGCTAAAGTTGTCGTGAGTAAATAAATTTGTGTCGCCTAGTTTACAGAAATTTTACATTTCCATACACAATTTCAGAAAATACTTGTAATGACGACAACGATTTTGGTCATGTGGTTTGTCGCCTTGTTTGAGGCTTGTCAATGCACATTGTCTCCAAGCAGCAGACCAATTTTGACAAGCTGGTTAATCGGAATGAAACGAGTCTTGACTGGGTTAGGATATCCGGATTTTGCACCAAACGCGACTAAATCGAGTATGGAAGATGTTTCTTCGTTCGAAATTACACTTTCCGTCCTCTGTATGGGGATTCTCCTTAAATTTATGGGATTTCTGAGCGGATTTGGGAGTGCCCTCGTGTTAACGAGTAGCATTGCGATGCACGCGGAAGTCGCCAAAATTTGGACAGAATTTGATAAGGTGTGCATAATGGAACAATTTACGCAGGGCTTGGTACATAACTTTGAAAAATCTGTAAGTTCGCAAACTTATACAAAACTTTCCAAATATGTTTAAAGAAATTTAGGTTGAAAATTATATTAAGTAAGGTTGCTCAGATAAAGGGCGTTTCTTAATTTTTTAAAAATTGGTAAAATTGTTTTTTAAAATATGTACACAGATTTTATAAGTTACCAATCACTGCGTGAAGTATTTAAAAAAAATTTAAAGAATTTTAGTGAATTGCCAAGATTACTCTTAGGCCAAGGGGACCGTAATCCTAGAGAAATATTTGCTAGTGAAAAAATCGATTGGGAAAATCAATCGTGTCTGTGGTCCGATGATCTTGTCGCTCCTGTTGTACACAATTTTGGACGTAGTTTGCATTCCGGGTCAACCGACACGGCATTTTGTTTGCGTTTTTATCTTCTACACAGAATCAATCGTGAATATAACATCCTTCCTGATAGCTGCGGAGGGCCATAGAAAGGTAATTATGTATGTATACACTCTTAGAAATCTGGTACATATGTATAGTCAGGCAGATATTGATTTCTCGGTACTAAAGTTGCTACCGCTTGGTATAAAATTTACTAAATACCCATACGGTAAAACTTTAATTCCAAGCTGTTACTACGCGTCTTTATCATGAATCCTTCGTAGAGTCATACATATATTGAATTGATATTATGTTAATACTGGATTTCTAAGAGTATCGAACTTAATTATTGCAACGTCAGATTATCTGAAATCTGTTTTATGCAAAGATATTTCTGTTTCTGAATTATATTGTTGAAAATTGTTGATCCTCACGTTTCGAGAATTTTGAGTTGAAACTGGTTATAATTTCAAAACTTTATGAACTTTTGATCCTCACGTTATTAGTGTCAATCCATCGAGAAAAGGCTAATCGGCGAAATTGGAGGAAATTCAATGGGCTATCCCCCATTTTCTGGGTATGCCGAAATTTCTACGAAGATAAGATCCTCTCCGGGCGAAAATGGTCTGCAAGGGTGGCAATGTTTCACGTTGTCGTATTCTTTTCTTGGAACGGTAATGAAAAAAAAACAGTTTTTTAAATTGTAACCTGACGACTTGCTTATTTCCAGGTGGCCAGCGTAGGGGTAACGTATGCACTTGTCTTGCTGCAGTTTGTGTCAGCAAGTTAAGCTACATATGTACGTAACTGAAGAGAATGGTAAAACTTAAAGTAAAAATTATTCAATCAGGCAATTCACGCAGACATTAAGAATATGAAAAATGTGTAAATTTTGTAAAATAATTTTTCAAACTTTTACAGAATAAAAATACGCCTCTGATCTGTGAAAGTTTACAAAAATTGTTGCGCTAATTTTCCTCAGAAATACATTTGTAAAATATTGTAAAATTTTCTAAATTTATAGATTTTAGGGATTTTATTTAAAATGGTAAAGTAAAATCATCAAATGTTATGGACGTGTCCAGAAAATTACTTTTTGTGAAAATTTTGATTTTTTGGATACGTTGGTAGGCTACCAAATAGCATGTATTACATACATACATATATAGTTATGAACGAATCATACTGCATTGATTATTTATGTGTATAAATTTTGTAAATAATCTTAAAATAAAGTTTGAAATTTTACTTGAGCATGATAATTGTTTTTATTATTTTTAAGGTGAACTTCAACACCCGTAAAGTATTAACCAAAAATATGTAGATTAATATGCTCACCTCTAATAACACGTGACGAATGGGTAATTAATTATTTTGGGTTTAGAGTAAAAAAAGAACAGCAATTTCTCTTCCTAGCAATATGCATGATCAACATCTTTGACTGGGTTACCCACATATGTAATTAATAGGTATGTATGCAAACGGAAATGGAAACGTGGCATTAGTTCAACCAAATGGTGATCTAAGCTTGTTGCTTACTTAATTAAAATGCATAGCTATGGGAAAGATGTTGGTACGGAGAAAGTAGCTGATATATGTATGCATATGTAAGTGCACATACATACGTAAGTATGTATGCATGTCTTATTACGTAAATGGCCATTAGCCCTTGCAAATCGCTAGCGCAACTGTATATTTATATAGATACATAAATTTGTAAATAATTGCACATTAATTATGAATTTCAACGTGAAACCACTGATGGTGGACACAAATTACGGCAGAGATGCATTGTGCACTCGCCGCAAAAAAGTTTTAAGACTTTTCACTTATGTATATTGGTCAATACCTAACAAGTAAACTCCAAAGTTTTGCAGCATATGTACAAATTAATTTCCATCCCGTGACTAATGCTTAACTTTAACTGCTTTACGTATTTGTGGTGATTTTCTTATATTTGTGTATTGCATATAACTCACAGTAATTACTTATCCACACATTTACATACAAATCCAGCTTAAAAATAAAACCCAGTCTTGTCGTCATTAGAAAGATTGCATCAATTTGAGAAAATCCAGGAGGGGAGTGTTTCCACAAAGTTGACAATGTAATTATTTTCACGCACGCAATGGCCTTTACGTCATTCACGGGTTTACACACACACGTTGATACGTACATACATACATGCATTCACAAATATGCAAATATGTATAAGTCAGGGGCCGGAAGTAAATCATGTCGTCGATTTACGGGTGTTGCGTTTTCTGTGTCCTACGTACACTCTTAGAAATCTGTCATATTCACATAGGTATTGATTTCTCGGTATTAAAGCTGCTACAATTTGGTATTAAAATTATACAGGTCTGGGAAAATTTTAATACCGATATGGTAAAACTTTAGTACCGAGCTATTACTACACTGTATTACTTATCATTACCACACTCTTAGAAATGGGGTTACAATTATAACCAAAAAGCAAACGTATGTGACTCTACCGCTGTGGTTATAATTTTGTCATCGAGTGGTTACAATTGTCACCAGCTAATTATAAAGCTTCACCGATTTGGTATTAAATTGTCACCAGAGCTAATAAATGCATAACCAGTTGGTGACAAATTCATAACCACGGCGGTAGAGTCACATACGTTTACTTTTTGGTTATAATCGTAACCCCATTTCTAAGAGTGCACTTTGGTAAAGTCATGTATGAATACCGCTTGGTGTTATTTTAATACTTGATTTCTAAGGGTGCACAATATGTGTTGCATACGTATACAATTTTCTAAAACTCCGTCACATCCTTTCTGCACGTCCCTTTGAGGTTTTTCATGCATACGTATATGCAAATACCTCCGCAACGTGAAATCCGACCAGTAGTGATGTATGTATGCAATTCCACCGCCCTTGGTCCAAATCCGGACTCAATTTTCGGATTTGTACGTGTTACTTAATACCCGGAGAAAAATATTGATTGCGAAAATTAGTCCCGCTTTTGTTTTACATACATGCTCCTTCTTTTTAGTCAACCTTGTAGCAGCGAGCTGAAAGCATCATGTAATAATGCAGTAAAGTAAGGTTCAGAGTGCAGCTAACTAAATTTATTTAACTGGAGAAGGGTTAAGTTTGAGAGAGAAGATTAATTTTTTACTGCAAATTGTTTGTAAATTAGCCGAAGGTAAATAAATGTATTCAGATGGCGCCACAAAGCAGGTTTGTGAAGAATATATATTTTAAACTTTAAATTTTGGTAAGGGCTTGGTGGGAAAAAATATATTTATTTCAAAGTGTAATATAAACTAAATATATTGTGCATAATGCATGCATAAGCAAAAAGTGTGTACAAAAGTTAAAATTTGTCAAACGTAACTAGTTTCATTTACATATTACGATTACGTATCAAATGCAGTTTAAATTTTAATTTCACAAATCCGCGGTCACAGAATTTTATTACCAATTTCGAGACAACATTCAAATGCACAATCTGATAAATATCCAGTGAAACACTGGGAAAATAAAAGTACTAAAATTTTGGGGGTACTCACTTCAATCGTGAATTTGATAATTTTGGTATACTTGTTAAATTCAATGGCATCGTTTTAGTTTGCAAAAAGTTCGCAAAATTATTTAACAAAACTTAAAAGTTTTACAAGTTGCCAATGACTGCATGATTTGCTTCAGTTTCAGTTGACTCTTTAAGCGAAAAAAAGCAAAATAAGAATTTCTTGACTTTTTCTTCATTAATCACTTTCCCTTCTTCTCCACAGGGTTCAAATGAAGAAAACTAAAAGACCTGACCCCGTCCCTGTAAAAGTTGCTCCGATCAAAGTTGCCCCCGCCCCAGTCAAAACCACCCCCATTGTCAAAGTGGTCGAGGAATTCGACCCATCCGACACCCTCCTCCAGCACCTATCCACGCTGCACACACGTGGCAAGGAATTCAGCCAGAGCGGTGCTCACCTCGAGCTCGTCGACCTCCACGACGCCATCGGCACCCTCAACGAGTCAAAACCCTTAACCAGGCTAGATTCCAGTGAGATCAAATCCTTCATAAATCACGGGATGGGACAAGTCCTCCAATTCATGGGGATGGGAATCCTCCTCTCCCCCAGTAGAAAACGCCCCCTCGACGAGGACAACCTGCTCAGCCAAACGGTCCATCAAATTCTGCTCTTCATACAAAAATTCGTGCTACGATGGAACATTGATGTTACCGAAGTATTAAACCGTTTCCACGATTTTATCAGGGTGCTCCAAACCGCTGAGGGACTAAATTTCGATCCCGGGTTGAACCTAACTTTTTGGCGGGATCGAGAAAAAACTGAGTGCATAAGGGACAACGATGACCCCTCCGTGGTAACCCTGGGTTACGAAACCTTTTCTAAACTGAGATATTCAACGACTCCACAAAACCTGGCGGAAATCTTGGTAAACTCTACCCCAGAGGGAATCATACTTCGCGGAAAGGCGGGAACTGAAGCAGTCTCAGCGCAAGGTTTAGTCTACTGTGAGGTGGAGTTAGATGAAAACCAAGCCTCACGGGGAGGATCTACCCTAGTGCGATTCAATTTGCCCGACATTACCAAAAAAGTTGAGGGTATTACGAACTATTTCGAACTGGCGGGAAGGGACAAATTTTCACAAATGGTGTTAATCTCGCATCGGGTGGAGAACGAGTGGTGGCTTTTGGAAGGGGGCAATACCACCACAAATCCTTCCCCGGGGGGAGATCCTTCACCCCCGAAAAGAAGTAAAACCATAGAAACCCCGCGAATTCGAAGGGTACCGCCAATCCAAGATATTCGCGAATTCGAGTGGGATCTGGACCACTGCGGGTGTGAAAAGTGTGACCCGGTCCGGCCAGAATTTGTGATCGAGGGCGAGCTTAAGTTGGAGATGGTTAATTTTAAAGTGATATTCGACTATGATCATAATTGCGGGAGTTGTGCGGAGTGCGAGATGCGGCGGGAGTGTCAATACGGGGATTATGATGAACCTGTAGTTATCTTTGCGGAAAGTGTGCCGCCACAAGAACGCGGAAAAGTGATACGTTTGCAGGAAGAGTTTAAAATATTTGATGTGGAACAGTTCGATATAATGAGACATTACTGGGAAGAAGTGGTGTGAAGGTTTTAAATTCGGAGAGAATATTTAAAGTAATACTTTCAATAATATGGAAAGCACAAAATTACATCTGTAAATAAATATATTAATTTTTTACTGTGTATTTAACAGAGGTAATTTACCTTAATAAACAAATTTACTACTCGGGTTATTTGTTACTCAAATACATAAATTATCTATGAGCTACTTACTTTATAACTAATTATTTAATGTTTTTTTTGTATATGTAAATAAATATGGAGTGAAAAATACTTTCAATATTTTATTCAGAGTGACTTGAGGCGTCTAATACACATATATACACATGCATATAAATGTTGTTTCAATATGTGTAATATTCAGAATTTCGGAGTACGAGTATTAATGTAAGTATGAAAAATCCCTGAAATATGTATGTACATAAATACGATATTTAATATTTAAGAGCATTTTGAACGAGCCCATTTCACGTCTTAGAATCCTTAAAAAATTGGAACTAATTATTATTAATTTAAACTCATTGGAACTTGTTGATTTTAATTTTAAAAACTCACCTCAATTCTATTCATCAGAATTTTTCAAAAACTCTATAAACCTGTAGTTCATAATTTTAAAATAAATTCCCAAAGAGGAGAAGTAATTAAAAATGTTCTGATTTTTATGAATTTAGCGATGAGTCATCGAGTCCTACTATTGGAATTTTATAAAGCTGGATACAAAAATGTTCTCAAAAGAAAAAGCTTACTTTGGCCAAACTGTCAAAATCTTTTGAGCTTTTGAGCATGAAAAAGAAGTACAATTGTTTAACTTTAAGGATAACTAATGGCCTCGCAGCACAAATAAACTCATATTCTGCTCTTTTGGACTCATCCCAGTCCACGATTACGTCCTGATAGTGCACAATTCCGTGGGGGCTATACGACGCCAGACGCGCTGTTTTCTTGACAGCCTCAATTTCCAAAAACATATTGCTTCCTTTATAATAATGAATCGGGATCGGATTATCGGTGGTGGTTTTGTACGCGAGTTCGACTTTGTAGAATGACCAATACGTTCCGTTCTCATTTTTGAGGACAGCCTGCTGCGTTGTAAGTTTGTGAAGGGGTTTTCTGGGTACCCTTGCCCCCTTTTTGGGGACGACCTCGTCCAAGTTGTTGTCATCCCCAGTAGCCTGTGGATGAACCCGGAAATAGAAAAATTAGATATATATTAGTCCCAAAAGGATTTGGCTGATGGAAACATGAACTTTTAATGGAACCGAACTTCAATTTGCCCGAGTCACTGATTTAGTGAAACTATTCTATATAAAATAAATAAATAATGTACATATACTCTTAAAAGCCATGTGTTAATCGTAACTGCTCTATGTGCATATGTGACTTGAAGACAAGTGTTTCTCACCACATGGTGATAAAACTTGCCTGCATGATAACACATTGTCACTGGCTGGTGCTAACTTGTCACAATTAGTCGATAAACGTTATTACCGGGTTTTTAAGAGGGTAACATCGGATGATTATTATTTCTAATATTAGCCTACATACAACCATTTTGAATATTCTTTAAAGACGACCTTATGCGACTAATGTACTGAACCAGAACAATGTGTGGTGGCATTTCCATACAGATGGATCGACACGACGGGTAGATTAAGTAGGTCGTGCCTCGGAATAAAAAACAGTTGGGACTAGTACAAATTGTACTACATATTATGTAGGACCTTACTGTTTTATGTACTTCGAAATTGTATGAATTTAATTAATTAAATTGGAGTTGAATTGTGTAAAATAAAAAAAAATACCTCTTGTTCCAACTTTGGGATAATATCAATTTCATTGATCATGGTATTTGATAGTATTGTTTTTCCTTTCGCTTTAGAACAATGTAAAATTGTATCAAGTTTAAAAATTAATATTATTTTGAGAAATTTAAAGGAAGTGCATTTTCCTATTTTAAGTTGGACTGAAAATAAAGGAAAAATAGGATCAACTTTTTCCTCGGGCTAAAGCTGCAACTTGTAGAAACTGTTCAACCCTTTCGTTCTAATAATAAAATTTAATCCTTTGTTCGACGTAAGAACATTCCGGTTTACATGCAAGTGATTGAACCACGCTTGAAATTGAGCCAATGGCAGGGTTGTAAGATGATTGCAGCATTTAAATCCAAAATGATACAGAAAAATATTTGCATATCTTCGCAAACTGATGTTTTTTCAACTCCATTCATTATTTCGAAATAACCCGTCCTGGTGTTTTATTTGAAATTGTTTAATGGCGCATGTAAATTAAGTGAAAGTATGTAAGTACATTAAATTTTTTAATGCGTGAAGAGAAATTTAAATTTTATTACAAATTTCGAGATAATTTTTATGTAATATAAACATGTAAGAACACACAATGAAACCATGAAATCACTATGGCTCGCAAATCGTTGGGTTTTCCGGTCGGACACATGGGTTCACACCTGGCTGGACAAGATTAGGACAGTAGCAGTGACCGTAATAGTTTTCAGCAGCGTAGACAAGTACCACGACACCGTTCTGGAAATTGAATTCTACTCCAGGAGGGAGAAAAATGCTCATCGTGTCGATAAATAGTTGAGAATCGTGACACACAATTTGCGACGGGGTGCAGTCCTGAAATAATTAGTAAATGATGTCCATTTAGCACTAAATTTGTATGGGGACGACTATTCCCAGGAAGGTTAAATACAAGGAAATTGCTAATTCTACACGCTTAAAAAACAATGTTAAAATAATACCAAGCGGTATTCATGTATGACTACCAAAGTGGGATTGATAAGTAATACCGCTTGGTATTATTTTATGAATACTATTCATACATATGCCACTCTTCCAAAATGATATATATTTATAGTAACAACTCGGTATTAAAGTTTTACCATATCCGTACCAAGTTTAAGTGTACCGACCAGTGCAATTTTAATACCAGGCGGTAACAACCTTATTACCGACAAATCAATACCTGCGTGACGATATCAGATTTCCATGTAATAGTGTAAAAAAGATTGCCAAATTTCTAGAAAAACTGCAATTTAATTTTTGCCAAGATTATGGACTTCAGAAATTTCTAAGCAATGTAAAAATTCGTAAAACTGATTTACATACTTGTCGACACCAGCAATTTCCCAACTGTTCCGACAAACTGGCCTGAATTCCCCACATGGTGTTGCCAAAAATACCTGCCGCGTCCGTAATAGGGTTGTTGGTGTCGCTGAAGAGGCAAATTTTTATCCCTTGCTAAAAACCAGACCAAATGTTCCATAAAACCATTTTCCATATTTGGCAGGAGAAGTTGAGACAGAGTGAGAAAAGGGGATGGCGGTGGGTATCCACCACCAGCACGCGTTAGGGTCGTATGCGCGATCCATTTTCTCACTCTGTTTCTCTCTCTCTGCACTCATTAGTGGCCAGAGTTTGTTATGGCTCTGGCTGTATAAGCCCCTCCCTCAGAAACTTTGACCCCAAAAAAGTCATGGTAGCGGTCATTTTGCAGCGGGCCACAAAATCTGAAAATGTAGCACTTCTGAAGGAGAAAAATCTGGCATCAGGTTGTCAGCCGCAAAATGACCGCTAAGGTCACTTTTTAACGATTTATATGTAGGTCGAAAAACCGCCAATTTTCGAATTTTGAAAGTCTTGATGCATCAAATTGTTCATACTCATGAGGGAAGTCAAATGTCAAATGCAAGTTGGTATCTATTTCTTTTTGTACCGAGTGTACATTGACCTTCTCATTTTTGACAATTTCTTTTCCCGATTTTTGAAGGGGGGGGGTGGTTGCATAAAATTCAAAAACAGCTATACTATATTGATCCCCCCACCCAAAACTGAACTTGTAATTTTTTATGCGCAATTCGGTGAAATCGATGCGAAAAAGACTTGAACTTTTGGCTCATTTTGTACCCCGTCCTTAACATTCGTACCAAGCAGGACGGAAAGGAGCGGGCGTGGTCGACATGTTTCTAGAAATTAAATATTTAAATGCAATTTTTTAATTTTGTAAAGGCAATAATTTTATACGTTTTGCTTACGCGTGCTGGTTTGTCGCTTGACTAAAATCTCGCTGGTAAAACAAGATAGTGAGAGGATAAGAAGGACATAAATTAAACGCATGTCGCGTGATGACTTCATTTTAAGAAATACTTTCAAACTGAGGTCAAAATTAGGGTGTGACGTAAATAGTGAACTTGTTGAATTGTGCTGAGATGGCTAAGTAAATTGGAATTGTGCTTTAGTTGGGTCAAAAAATGACGACATGCATGCCTAGAGATAGGTTTGTATGAAGTTATTTGGGGACATGCATGACAGGGATACGACGTCAAAAGGAAGGGTTTAGACAATGTTTATATTAAATGGTACACTCAAAATAATTTATAGGAAAAATTATTACCATGCGGAATCACTATGTGTCTCTACCGCACGATAGAGAATCAATACAACTGGGGTAATAAGTTTATGTCGATACCGCTTGGTAAGGATGTATTACTTTACCCCAATGGTAATGACTTGTCGCGTTTGTGTAATATTGGTATGGAATTTGGTAATAATATTGAAAACCAACGGGGTAACATAATATTACCTGATTTAGACGAGGATGATATTTCCCTGGTATTGAACGTAACCGTACGTGAAATAAAATTGTACGCATTTGGTTATAGTTACAACATTTTTTATTTTCATAATAAAATGCAAATACTTAGTACAAAAAATGTTAACGCTACTACACATGTATGTACATACTATGTACGCACGTAATAAGTTACACATTCTTGTAATTAGTAAAAAGTTTTAGATATAATGTCGTTATACTAAAAATAAACCAATCTTAACATTGCTACATATCGTCACAACTTATGAATCAGATATTCTTGTGCATATAATTAATACAAAGTTTTACATATAATGTCTTGGCACTAAAAATAAGACATCGGTCTTACAATTTCTTTGAATTTCCATACACTCTTGAATTACTTCTAATAAATGTTAATTCTCAACATTTATTAAGTTTATTTTTTCTATTAAAATTACCTTAAACGCAAAATAATGTCGATCAAAGTGCTCGACATCAATTTCTTTCAAAACAAGAAAACACTTGTACTCACTTATTTGCTATTATTACAACTCACTAGGAAATCGCAGTTCAAAAATTTCTTGTAAAACTTGAGAATGAGCGTGGAATCCAGCTGACTATTTCGTATATATGTCCGGTTTGTAAGTGTCTCCAGAAACAATGGCTTTATTTCTTTTGAAGAGTTTTTGGGGCAAGGTCCATTAGGTTTATTAATGGCGTCAGTGGGAGGAATTGTTGTTTCCGGCTCACCATCTGGTTTTCGCAGTGAGATTATTTTCGCGGATGGTCCACCAGTAAATGGCGAGATTCTTTTCTGTGCAGGTTTAGCCTTGCCCTTATTTAGATTTGTGTGACGGAATCTCAGTCGAGTTTGAATTAGTCCCGATCTTGCAACTTCGTTATACAAAATATCCTAAAAAATTGTTCCATGATTATTAAGAAAATCAAGTCAAGA